CTTTGATGTTGTTATGTCGTTTTATTCCCCTCCTCGCCACAGTCATTGAATTGTACATATGGGGACCAGTTAGGATTTTCATAGAGACAACGAGGTATTATTGTGGATGTAGTAAGAAAGGTAAGTAAGAATGTGTTATTTTGGTTTTTAGGAATATTGTGGTATGTTTGGATCAGTGTTTATGGCTATCTAAGACAGAAGAAAACCGTCTTCCCCCCCCCCATTCTCCATTTTGGCCTTGTGCCACATATCTGTACATAGAAATAAATATCGCTCTTTGCTATGATGTTGCTATGTCGTTTTATTGTCCTCCTCCTCCTACAGATAATGAAGAGTACATATGGGCACTAGTTAGGATTTTCATAGAGACAATGAGGTATTATGGTGGATGTCGTAAGAAAGGTACGTATGAATGTGTTGTTTTGCTGTTAGGAATATTGTTTGTATGCTTGGGTCAGTGTTTGTGGCTAGCTAAATATAACGTTAAGACAGAAGAAGACCGTCCTTTTTCCCCCATCCCCCATTTTAGCCTTGTGCCACACTTCTGTACACAGCAGAATAAATATCACTCTTTGCTATGAAAACTAGACTTTATGGATTCACGGGTAGTACTAGATTAGCAACAAAGTTTTATCAGTTTATAGCTGAATTGGATTCCCTGTGCCTTTTCTATAAATCGTTTCATGACAATTATTCTGATGAGCTTTCCTAGTTTTTTAGTATGCATATTGTAAATATTCATTAGGGTTAACTTTTAGAATTGTTGTTTTATTCCCCCCCCCCACAGACAACGAATTGTAAATATGGGGACTAGTTAGTATTTTCATAGAGACAAAGAGGTATTATGGTGATTGCAGTAAGAAAGGTACGTATGAATGTGTTGTTTTGGTGTAAGGAATATTGTTCGTACGATTGGGTCAGTGTTTGCGGCTAGCTAAGTTATAGTTAAGACAGGAGAAGACCGTCCTTTCTCCAATCCCCCCTTACGGCCTTGTGCCACATTTCTGTATTGTACAGAATAAATATCGCTTTCCTTTATCGTATCTAGACTTTATGAATTTATACTAGGTGTCGTAACTTTGCAGCTGAAGTTGCTATATATAACCGTATGTTCTATACTAACAGTTGCTACTCTCGCAGACGTAGCAGTTGATTCAATATAATCTTTCATTTTTAAGACATTTTTTTATGTTTATACGCTCTTTTTATAGATATAAATATTTAAGTAAATGCTCTGTTCATAATAAACAATATTAACAACATTTACCGGTCTGAATGTCCGAGAAATTTTCATTGAAAATATGTGTCCTCCGACAGGAATCGAACCTGTATCCTATACGGAACCGTCATACTGACGTACTTTTACCGATTGAGCCACAGAAAAGCGTTTCAGTTAAACGTCAGACTGTATGACGGTTCCGTATAGGATATAGGTTCGATTCCTGTCGGAGGACGCATATCTTCTATGAAAATTTCTCGGACATCCAGGCCGGTAAATGTTGTTAATACTGCTTATTATAAACAAAACATTTACTTAAATCTTTGTATCTGTAAAAAGAACGTATGAACAAATAAAAAAAAAATGTTTTAAAAATAATTGTAGGACTTTGTCCATTTCATAATGTATAATCTTCCATGCCAGCGGGAAATGTTATCCTGAGATTTTAAGAATTAACAATTAGAAATGAACAAGAAGAATCAAAACTTCTTCTGGTATAAGTCTGGTTTTGTGCTTGTGTGCTATTTTTTTATATATAAAGTGTCGAATTTTATTTCATTCCCGCACAGCTAAGAAAGAATAAGGAAGAATGCTTTTTTATCTCTCTCTCCACGTGTATCACTTTTAAGGTAATGAAAGCGGTAGCCTGAAAAAAAAAAAAGAAAAGATAAATAGCCTACAAGATATTAATTGTTGTTGTTGATGCATTTAACGATGAGAAAAGAGTCGAGTGTCTCTTCAAATCGCATCTGTCACAGATTAGTTGCCAACTAATTTTAGCACTCACCGCTATCTACCAGAAAGGCCCTTTCTTCCTGCATTTTGAAGGTATCATCCATTACAGCAACTTATAAACAAGTCCAAGATTCGGTCTACGAATTTAAGGTGTGAAAATAAAATAAGAGCAGATGTTGTTAAATGGGACAAGGATTGGCTTGTTATTTTAACGCCTCCAAAATGAAACTACTCTCTTTTAATCGTCTGAGAGAAATCTTTTTACTTTCCATTAACATAGCTGATAACAACCTCCAGGAGAGTGGCTTATTGCGCCTTCTTAGAGTAATGTTTCCGCTGACAGGAAGCGGAAAGTCTATATTGAATCAAATGCTAAATCTGCAGCTAGGAGAGTTGGCTCACTGTTTCGTACAAGACAGTTTTTCCTCGCCAGAATGTATCTCACATATTTATAAGTATACCTTTTGTGTTTGCTTTAAACACTAATGCCACGTTTGGCCTGGTGCTCCTACTATATATTTAGAGATTATTTATAAAATTCAACGAAGAATCTGCAATGTTATTGACCCTAACCTGGCATCTTGGCTTCAGACACTTTCCCATCACCGTAACATAGCTCCTCTGTGCCTTTTTTATAAATATTTTCAGGGGTATTATTCTGGTGACCTATCCTCTATGTTACCCAGACTTTATGCATTTAAACGCAGTTCTAAATTGGCGGCAAGGTTTCATCATTTTACAGTTGAAATGGCGAGATGTAACCGTAAGTTCTATGCTGAAAGTTTCTTCTCTTGCGCTTTTCGCGCTGTGGAAATATTTGATCTTTCGAAAATTTAAATAAAATATCAAGCGCTGTCTCCAGTCTTCTTAATGCTTGTTATTTTAATGCTTTCTCTTCTTCTTCTTAGTATATTTTCCTCATATTCTCTCACGCTCAGTAAACCCCTTTCGCCTTATTGACTTTACTGCCTGGCTCGAGATGAAATGATTAAAACAAAGAAAAGAGGTTTTAATAACTTGGAAGGGTTTTAACGGAGGATGGAAAATGGGAAATTAAAATCATAAAAGCGCATTTGAATATCAAAAGATTCCTTTCTAAAAGTAAACAAAATCTTATCAACTAGTTTAAAAGTCACACTATCGGGCGGCATTTAAGCTAGCTCCTGCGAAGGGCGCTTGATCTGGCCGTTCAGTTTATTCGGGAGTTTGAGAGCCCCTAAGTCTTTGCATATTCTCAGCAATGGAAGCTCTCCTGGCTGCCGTTTGATGTGTGTTTTCATTTGCACGGGACTTTCTTTTCCTTGCTGTAGCCTTGGCTCTTTTGATTGTAATCTGACCGTCTGTTGTCGGAGATTTCTTTTTTTCAACGAATACTCCTGCCGTATGCGGTAGCCAACATTAAACGACAGAAGTACTCAAAACTGATCACCGCATTTACGTATTACCTTAATATTTAAGCTTGCCTTTTAAAAGTTCAACGATAATTCTTCAGTTGTCACTTAATTTAATCATCATCATCTCATCTTGCGGCCTCAGCCGAGATTGAATTCACCAATACTTTGATTGGTGTAGTTCATAATCTTGTCAAATAGCTGAATTCTTGATGCTTCGCTAGGGCTATCAAGGGTGTTTTTATCGTGACACCAACACTAAAATGGATTGCCAGCCAAGGCTCAGAGAGACTCCATTCACCCTCCTCTAAGAGGGTTTGAATTCAGAATTTTTGTTCTCCTAGACCAGTTGCCATCCAAGGCTATAGAACCCAGTCTGTCCTGCTATTTACCCATAGCTGGAGGGAGAAGAAAGAGAATTCACACCTTTCCCAAGGGTGTTAGCACGTAAGTGAATGTAATGGATTCGACTGGAATTCGAACTCGGCTCTCCGATTCCTCAATCCGAGCCGCTATCCATTACTCCACTGTGCCTCCTGTCTTAATTTAAAGACAGTTTCATTTGGGTAGGTCATTACTTTCCATACAAAAAATTATTTTTACTTCATGAGTGACTGGATTTCGCAGTTAATTCCAGTCATTCCCAAATTTATTACCAAGTTATAAAAATTGTTATCGTACAAAAAATGGTGCCAAAAATTCACGTAAAAAAAAAATTGCCGAAAACAATCGCAGTGATGAAAACTTGGGAATCCAAAATTTCTGTTACATGAGGTTGTTGGGGCGCACCCACCTTCTAACTAGAAATAGTCAGCTCTAGAGAGAGGACAAGAGAGCGTCAGCGACGGCAGTCCAGATAAGGTTACCCATTACATACCATTGGACTATAGACTTTGGATATTGTTGCGTACTAAGCGACCTTCGTTTTACTAATCACTCTATTGTTAATTGCTTTTACAAATATACCAGTATTTTCCTCTACAACTGTGTTTGTCTTGATTCATACACCGACACGCGGGAAACTCACATCTCAACAGAGGTATTAAAAGTTAGAGAGTTGTCCCTTTAACTGAAAAAGTGTGACACACTGACGTTGGCATTGATTATTTAGAAAAACGAGATGATTTAATGAGAGTTGTGTGCCTTTAACTGAAAAAGTGTGACACACTGACGTGGGCATTGATTATTTAGAAAAACGAGATGATTTAATGAGAGTTGTGTCCCTTTAACTGAAAAAGTGTGACACACTGACGTTGGCATTGATTATTTAGAAAAAACGAGATGATTTAATGAGAGTTGTGTCCCTTAAGCTGAAAAAGTGTGACACACTGACGTTGGCATTGATTATTTAGAAAAACGAGATGATTTAATGAGGGTTGTGTCCCTTTAACTGAAAAAGTGTGACACACTGACGTGGGCATTGATTATTTAGAGAAACGAGATGATTTAATGAGAGTTGTGTCCCTTTAACTGAAAAAGTGTGACACACTGACATTAGCATTTATTTTATAGAAGCAGTTTCGCTAGAAACAAAGAAAGGCGTGCCGAACTGTTATGCAATATCAGTCTCACTGTATATGAGAAGATGCTGGACAATTTTCTCAAAGATGAATAGAAGACTTAAAACCTCAGTGATTTGGTCCCAGAAAATGTACGGCCGTATAACATTGAAACACCGGTTCGCGTACAATCACCAAAGATAAGCAAATTCGAGCCTGGTCAGTACCTAAATGGGTGAACGTTTGTGAATACCAGGTGCTGCAGGGTTGGATGTGCAGGTGGTGTAATGTATAACGGCTCAGAATTGTTAATCATAGAGCCGAGTTCCATTTCCAGAAGGGTTCGCTATATTCATCTACACGCAAATTGAAAGCTATAAGTCCACCACTTCACCCCCAGCTATAGGTTAATTACTAGGACTTGTATCAGTAAATCATTATTATCCCAAAATCATTCTTACAATCTAAAAATACTTTCCGGCTTTAAATAACCTGAAGATCATAGACAAAGAACGTCATTGGAAAATTCGTAAACTTAAGGAATCAGCACATATGCTAGGCCACAAAAATCTCCTGAGCCGATCAAGCATAGAAATGAATACAATATGGGAACCAGTAATAAGAAGTGCCAGAGAAAAGCGATAATAAAAACAAAAATTGTAATATGAGCTCTGGAGAGGGGGGATTAACAGGAGATAACTGACATCCATTAGACATGGCACGTGGAACTAGAATAGTCTACCCTAGTGAGCGAAATAAAGGGTTCAGGTCGACATTCAAACCAACTGAAGAAGACCGGAGCGTACAACGGCTGCAACGTTGTGATAAACATGGCGACAACGATGAGAACAATAGTCCGAATAATGTAAATAGTGTACGTAATACCTCATCTCAGAAATATAGATAGAACCTGGAAAAAAAATATATCAATAAATTTAACATGAGAATGGTTTAACATGTGAATAACATAGACTGAACATCTGAGTAACGAGAGTGTATTAAGAATAATAGAAACAATAAGGATATTTATATATATATATATATATATATATATATATATATATATATATATTAGGTTGGTGCAAAAATAATGACGTAATAATGTCGTTTTTTTGACCTTAAAAAATACGTCAAAACGACATTATTACGTCATTATTTTTGCACCAACCTAATATATTTGGTTTGGTTTGTTTTACGGCATATCAACCTCAATGGGTTATTTAATACCGACAAGATTTTTATTGCTACTAATATTTATTTTCCAAACAATGTATTGCTGGCAATATTTCCTTTCGAAAATGTATTGCTGATAATAATTTTTTACAAAAAATGTATTGCTGGTAATAAATTTTTACAAAAAATGTATCGCTGGTATTAAAACCTATTTTTTACACTTTCATAGTGTTTTGCCCCCAATTTGGGAGTCAACTATTTGCTCATAGCTGGGACCCTAACAGGTGCTACCACCCCAAGTCAGGGTGAACCTGGGAACACCAATTAAGAGGTGGTTCCACTCTCCTCAAAACCTCCTGATCAGAGGCTTTGCTGTTGGGTATAATTTATCGTCGTACCCAGGACGGACATTTATGCTTAGAATCAGAAAGAGACAGTTGAAATTTCTAAGACTTCATAATGAAGAAAGACGGCTTGGAGAATTCGGCATTCAGAGGATATACTGAAAGCAAGAGAGACAGAGGAAAACTCTGAACGAGCTTTTTTAAATGGATGGTAGAAAACGGATTGGGAAAAATAGCGAAAAGATAAATGTTTCTAAGCGTGAACAAGATAGGAAGTTGTGGAGGGCAATGATCGTCTATGTTCTACAGAGACACGGCGTATATTAGTAAAAGAAGAAAAATACATACCTACATATCTCTCCTATTGACAAAAGCAAGCACAACTCACCATTTACTACAAAAATTTAATTTACACTGGTGATCAAAACCAAGAATGCAGTAAAACGAAAGCAAAACTTCAACAAATCAATGTCGTCTATGAATTACCTTTCCCACAAGGTGAATGTTACTTTAATAATAATGTTAACAGCACATACATTGATTACACAATCACTAATTATCACGGCGGCTAACTTGTCATTTTCTGTTGAGTGTATTAACTCACATATCACCAACCAGCACAACAAAAGTGTATTAGCATACCTATGGATGATAATGGGTATGCCCCATTCACATAAATACAATAGTAAATACTGTATGTTGGTCTGCAATCGGAGATTCGTCTCCAACTGTGCTTATCAAACTCTCTGCTTCCGGGCACAGAGGATCCCCGGACGATAACGGGTATGTCCCCATTCACATAAATATAGTAGTAAATACTGTATGTTGGTCTGTGTTTGGAGATTCGTCTCCAGCTACGCTGGTCAAACTCTCTACCTGCAGACAGAGAGGATCCCCAGATGAGGCTATGTCGAAGGGCAGAGTTTCGTCTTGGGAAACAGCTACCCGAACCCGTTTTATACGCGGTCTTCGGGTAATATTTGGCCGAGCCTACAGACTCGCCTTATGCCACTACTAGAGTTGGAGATTCATTGTGGAATTCATTGACTCACTTCTAGCAGTTGACTACTTCTTCTACGCGCCGCTGGCAAATCTTATATGTGTTTTTCATGTCCTACGTATTATCGTTTATTACCAACCTTCGTGTGATTATTTTATTCAGTAACCTTTCCTTGGTTACAACAAAAAGACACAACAAGAAATCCTCCAAATACTTAAAAATAACAAAACTTATAAACCACAATCGTTTCTGAGGGGATTACCACCAGGGATATGGCAAAATTAAATTCCATACAAATTAGGAAAAAAACTAAATATATTTCACACTTAAACTGACGCATGAAGATGCTACTTTATTTTTTAGAAAAAACCGACATGACACCTACCGTCGGGTGATAATGCGACATTCAAACACCCTGAAAAAAATCCAGCGCATAAGTATAGGGTGATTGAAAATTAACTCCCTATTTTATTTATCATGGACTCTTCTGACCTGAAAAAATTATAGTTAGACTGAAGAGTCCATCATACATCACATAGGGAGTTACTTTTCAATCACCCTTTAGTTACACAACCCTATCGTCACACCCCAATATCTTTATAAGGACTTATGAGAGCCGAAAGACTTTTCTCGAACTTTGCCTGGAAAACAGAAAAATGTTCAGAAGCTTAAAAAAAAAATAAAATAAAATACAACTAAACGAAGAATTTCTGCTGCCTCTCAACCAAACCTGAGAAGATAGATAGATAGATAGATAGATAGATAGATAGATAGATAGATAGATAGATAGATAGACATGAACAGACTGAGACAGACATAGATAGATAGATAGATAGATAGATAGATAGATATGAACAGACTGAGACAGACATAGATAGATAGATAGATAGATAGATAGATAGATATGAACAGAGATAGATAGATAGATAGATAGATAGATAGATAGATAGATATGAACAGACATAAATAGATATGAACAGACTGAGACAGACATAGATAGATAGATAGATAGATAGATAGATATGAACAGAGATAGATAGATAGATAGATAGATAGATAGATATGAACAGAGATAGATAGATAGATAGATAGATAGATAGATAGATGAACAGACATAGATAGATAGATATGAACAGACTGAGACAGACATAGATAGATAGATAGATAGATATGAACAGACAGAGATAGATAGATAGATAGATAGATAGATAGATAGATAGATAGATAGATAGATAGACAGACATAGATAGATAAGCAATTAACCTGATCCTCAGCTAGAACAGCAAGACGGTGTTTTAAAATTACTATTACTCTCCTGAGGAGGTCTATGTTATCAAAATTTACAGCATGAGTTAAAATCCTGCGAAGTCGGATAATTCTCCGGACATGTTTCCGTCACATTACGTTTTTTTCTTCACCTTTATAACAATATCAGTTTTTGTTATTCGATAAAATTACACAATTTATTTGATTTTTTTTTTCGCGAATTTTTTTTTTTTTTTTTTTAAGCATTCATCCCCAAGCAAGGCGGGTAGACACTATCACGCAAAGGGTTGCATAGGATTTGGAGCGAGAGCAAATAATAATGATAGAGGAAAGGATGAAGAGGAGGTTAGGGGATAGATCATGGCATCTGGAGACGTCGATTGGCATTACATTTGAATAGTTGGAGATTATAGCTATCAGGGAAACAGGAAATGGGGAGGGAGTTCCACAGACGAGAAGTGCGAGACATGAAGATATTGGAATAGAAGAGACGGCTACATTTAACAGTTTCGACAGTGAAAGGGTGAGAGCGAGATGCCTGCCTAGTTGAACGCTTAAATACATGGAGTCTGGGAACCAGCGAAAGCAGCTCATCGGAGCAATTACTGTGCAAGTATTTGTAAAAAAAGACGGGGGGGGGGCAACGGCACGTCTGTGAGAGAGCGACTGCAGACGAAACGCGAGATCAGGGCCAATTACACTGCATATCCCGCTTTGGGTTTTATCAAGGACCTTGAGACAAACAGAAGGGGCTCCAGACCATATACGGCAGCAATACTCCATGCAAGGGTAAATGGTTGATTTGTAGATTTGAAGGATTGACTCCGGCGAGAAAAATTTCCTGGTGCGGCACAGGGAGCCGAATTTCCTTGCGGTGGACGAAGCTATTGACTCGATGTATTCGTTCCATCTCAGGTCAGCGGACGATGTGAGACCGAGCAGTCGCAAAGTGGAGCTCTCGTGGAGTTGAGCGTCAGGCATTCTAATGGTAGGCAGGGATGGACGCCATTTGTTATTTTTCCACTTTTATTTTGTTTCGAAGGCGCCTCTAATTTGGCCAATTAGATGAATTAATTACCAGATTCCTGTCGAGAAAACTGATCTCTCCTTGTCGTTCGCGTAAATAGATCAGAGGTGCGTGTGTGTCTGAATATAAGTCAAATCGTTCAAGCGTGAAAACAAAAGAAAGAAATAAAAATAATTTCAACAGAACTGTTAGCTGCTTATCTTCAGTTTCTAAAAAGACTCGTTTTCTTGTCTTTCATCCATTAACTTGCTTGCAATCTTCATATAGTCGACTACTTGCTTGAACAACTGCCAGAAAAATAAATCTAAATACAACAGATTCCACAGAATATATATATATATATATATATATATATATATATATATATATATATATATATATATATATATATATATATTATTCTGTGGAATCTGTTGTATTTATATATATATATATTTACACACACCGATATATATA